AGTGGAAGTTTCTCTGTGCCTGGTTAAGACGCACTTCCCTCCTTCCGGAATAGTATGGTCTGCATATTCTCGCTCCCGGGAGTGGGGTGACACCAAGGAGGAGGCAGTGCCAAAAGATGACTCAATATTGCTTCGTTTTGTGGGCGCCGCGGAGGCCGATGACAGCGCATGTGACGGGGTAGGACCCATGGCTTTCGGCGCCGACACTCGCCAGTGTAGGAGGTCAAGAACACCGTGTGTGTGTGTGTGTGTGTGTGTGTGTGTGTGTGAGAGAGAGAGAGAGAGAGAGAGATGCCGATGCCTTAGAGGTCCGCTCTATGGTCGTTCTGGACCTCCTGGGGAGGCCTGCAGGAGTCAGGACTTAGGAAGCTGCCCGACGTGCAGGGGGTATAGACGGTGGGACCCAGCTTGGGGTGATCAGGGAGGGCTTCCTGGAGGAGCCCTGGCACCAGGAAGATCAGGTCGCATATGGTAAATCGTAGGAATGGAATGCAGGTGCTCAGGTGCACAGAAATAATCCTTGCCTCGCCCTGGCGATTAGAGCATCGGCCTGCGGACCAGAGTCTCAGGTTCGAGTCCTGTCAAGAGCACATACCCCTGTTGTGGTTCCTCCCCGGCCTTGGTTGGGGTTCTGTGGGAGGCAACCAGTCGTTCTCTCCCCCTCCCCCCCACTCTATCTGAAAATCAATGGAAAAATATCCTCTGGTACAAACAAAACAATCCTTGTCTCAAAGCTGGCACATGGGAATTTTCCATAACTGAGACACCATTGCCTCAGGAAAATTCAGCTCAGATTATTGCCAAATCTGGAGATGTAAGAACATACCAATGGCCAAGTGCTAAAGCTTGGGCATTTTCCAGCTCCTTGCCCTTCTAGGGCTGGGTTATCCCTAGGCAGAGATGAATGTGCCTCAGGGCAACATTGAGGCAGGTCTCACTGGTGGTTTCTACTTTCCCTCCCACTTCCTGGAAAAGTAGAGTCTGCATTTATTTTCTGGTCTCCTCAGCAGGCCAGGCCAGGGGCTCCAAGGGTAGGCCCACTTTCTCTTGGAGATCCTACACACAATGGTGGGTTTCACCAATGCTCAAGCACATGGGTGCATCCACTCACCCAAGCACCCTCAGGGACCATCTCATCAATATCTTTTTTTTCCTTTTAAATTTTACTTTGTTTTTAATTCTCACCTGAGGATATTTTTCTATTTATCTTCAGACAGAGTGGGAGGGAGGGAGAAAAACTGATGAGAGACACATAGACTGGTTGCCCCCTGAATGACCCCAACCAGGGCCGGGGACAAACTGCAACTGAGGTACGTGTCCTTGACTGGAATCGAACCCGAGATTCTTTGGTCTGTGGGTCGATGCTCTAACTGCTGAGCCAAACTGGCCAGGGCTCATCAATCTCTTTAGAATACTACAGAGAAATCCTGTCCAACAAAAGGAGGTTCTGGATGTTTCCAAGGGGGAGGGGAGTACAGGGGCATGGGAACTGTGTGATTCAGCCAACACTGGGGTGCTGACCAAACACCAGCACCCCAGCATCCTGCTTCAGGTGGGATGGGAACTGACAGTTCCACAAGCAACCAGGCAAGCCTGGACTCCCCTCCATGGATGCAAAGGCAGAGGCCCTTCTCCTTGAGATGAATTCCAAGAAATGGAATGGCCGCAAAAGACGTTTGTGATTCAAATCGATGGAAATTATATTACCAATTTAGGAGTGTTCAAATTTCCTGCAGCTTGTGTTTAATCCACTCTAGTCAGGCCTCAATTTATTATTTTTACTGAAGTCCCAATTTCTGAGTTCAACAATACAATAAAAACAAATTTTTCCAAAGTCATATAAATCTAAATTCTTTACTTTTCTTTCTTTCTTTTTTTTTTTGGTTGTTATTAATCCTCACCCTAGGATATTTTTCCACTGATTTTTATTTTATTTTATTTTATTTATTTATTTATCCTCACCCGAGGACATTTTCCCATTTTTTGTTCAGGTAGAGTGGGAGGGAGAGAGAGGAACAGAGAGAGAGAAACATCGATGTGAAAGGAACACATCGAGTGGCTGCCACCCGCACGACCGACCAGGGCCGGGGACAAACTGCAACCCAGGTACGCGCCCTTAGCGGGAACCAAACCCGGGTCTCTCAGGACCGCAGGTCGACGCTCTAACCGCTGAGCCAAACCGGCCAGGGCTCCACTGATTTTTAGATAGAGTGCAAGGGAGGGAGGGAGAAAGAGAGAGAGAGAAACATCAATGTGAAAGAGAGACATGGGTTGGTTGCTTCCCACAAGGCCCCAGGGTCGGGGATCAAATCTGCAACCCAGTTAAGTGCCCTTGACCAGCAACTGAACCCAAGACCCTTTGGTCCATGGGCCGATGCTTTAACTGCTGAGCCAAACTGGCCAGGGCTTTCCTAATTTCCTTTTTTTTTTCTTTATTGATTTTTAGAGAGAGAGGAAGGGAGAGGGAAACATCGATGAGAGAGAACATCATTTGGCTGCCTCCTGCATGACCCCACTGGGGATTGGGCCTACAACCTGGGCATGTGCCATGACCAGGAATTGAACTGATGACCTCTTGGTGCACGGGTCGACGTTCAACCACTGAGCCACACTGGCTGGGCTCTCCTAGATTCTTAAATATGAAATACCAACCAACAGAGTCACAATTTTACCAAGGATGTCATGGTTTTCTGGTACCCATAAATGAATGTTGAGATCACTTCCTCTTTAGCCCTTTTTTTATTTTATTTTATTTTTTTTTATTTTTTTATCCTCACCGGAGGACATTTTTCCATTTTTTGTTCAGGTAGAGTGGGAGGGAGGGAGAGAGAGGAACAGAGAGAGAGAAACATCGATGTGAAAGGAACACATCAAGTGGCTGCCACCCGCACAACCGACCAGGGCCGGGGACAAACTGCAACCGAGGTACGTGCCCTTAGCGGGAACCGAACCCGGGTCTCTCAGGACCGCAGGCCGACGCTCTAACCGCTGAACCAAACCGGCCAGGGCTTTAGCCCTTTTTTTATAAAAAAAAAAAAAAAATTGTTTTCCCTTCACTGATTTTTAGAGGGAGGGAGGGAGAGATAGAAACATCGATGACAGAGAATGACGATTGGTTGCCTCCTGCATGTTCCTCACTGGGGATTCAGCCCATAACCTGGGATCAAACCTGTGAGCTCTTGGTGCACGGATCAATGCTCAACCACTGAGCCACATTGGCCAGGCTCTTTAGCCTTTTAAAAACTGTAATTAGATTATCAGAAAATCCTCATGTTCCTTAAACTACTTTTCTGAACTCTATTCTCCTACATTTCAATCAAGTTATGCCTATTGCCATGCATGGCTCCTTCTCTAACTCATCACTAGACAAGCAGGTGAGGGGAGTTCTGCTCCACCTGCTGCTGTTGGCTGTGGGAATTTCACAATCATGTCATAAACAGTAATTTCTTGGACTTTTATTTTTTTAATCCTCACCTGAGGATATTTTCCCACTTATCTTCAGACAGAGTGGGAGGGAGAGAGGGGGAGAGAACGAGAAATATCTACATGAGAGAGACACATTGACTGGCTGCTTCCCGCATAACCCCGACCATGGCCTAGACCATGGCCAGGACTGAACAGCAACCAAGGTGCAACTGAGGTATGCACCCTTGACTGGAATCAAACCCACGACTCATTGGTCTGCACGCTGATGCTCTAACTGCTGAGCAAAACCAGCTAGGGCTTCTCAGCCTTTTATGTATGTATGTATGTATATTTTTTATTCCTCACCTGAGGACTTTTTTCCATTTTTGTTCAGATATAGTGTGAGGGAGAGAAATGAGAGATAGAAACATCGACATAAAGCGACGGTCACCTCCTGCACGACCCCAACCAGGGCCGGGGATCAAACCACAACCAAGATACACGCCCTTGACCAGAATAGAACCCATGACTCTTTGGTCTGCAGGCTGTTGCTCCAACCACTGAACCAATCCTGCCAGGGTTCTCTTGTTTTTGTTTGTTTTTTTAAGACAGAGAAACAGCGATCAGCTGCCTCCTGCACGCCCCCTACTGGGGAGCGGAGGTCAAGGCTGCAACCAAGGCAGTGCCCTGATCAGAAATCAAATCAGGACCTCAGTCCATGGGATGATGCTCAAGCCGCTGAGCCTCACTGGCCAGGCTCTTCTCTTAGGATGACTGAGGGTATGGTGCCAAGGCCATGGTACTCTGCTCACTGATCTGCAGGAGTGGGCCCTGGTCTTGCTGCCTCAGAAAAAACATTCATTTGTGACCAATTCCATCTGTGTCCTCCATGTTATGGAGGCACCTAGAGGGTAGAGCCCATGTATCTCTTGCACACCCGAGGTCCAAAGAGGAGCAACTGTGGAGTCCAGACTGGCAGAGTCTGGGGCCTCTCTGGCCTTGACTGCCCTATGCATGCTGCCCACTGCTCTGGAGCCTTTACCTCTGAACTATCACTGAAGTTGATGCCACTCCTGACACCACAAATGGACCCTCTCAATGAGAACCCATACTCTGTATTTCCTGTCCTCAACCATTGCTAGTAAACTCCAAACATTTCCAGTTTGTATCTAGAGTTCTCTCTTCATAACCCAGGGTGCCTGTCTAACCCCGCCCCGAGTCATACTCCAAGGCCCTATGCTCCCACATTTGCTCTGGAGAAATCCAGGGCTTTTCAGGGCCTCAGTAAGGGCTGTTGGCACTGGAATTAGTTGCCTACCACAATCCAGGGATCCGTTTGTGGTGGGAGTGGTTTGTCCTGTACCAGGAAGGAGCAGAGCCTGGATATTCTAGATCCCTCCATAGATGCCCTCTCCCCAGAAAGCCAGAAAAGGAGCCCTCTGGAGGAGGGGCCTGACCAAAAGGAAGGCCCTCATTTGGTGCTCATGGGCCATAACCCCCTGGGATGTTGGCTCAGGAGGCTACTTGGATCCTTTGAAGAAAGAAACCTACACATACTTTTATAATCAGAAATTTTCAGTTTATTTTGAATAAACTACTCAACCTTGAGCAGATAACATTACCTCAACTTTTTCTTTGAAGAAAAACAAAGATATATGGTAAATTCATGAAAACACAGTGCCTTATCTTCTATCCTTTGCGGGGCAGAAAAATTCTGCCTGATTTTTCCATTTAGGACAGCTACTGGGGGGACTGAAAGGAAGCTCTCCACAGGTCAAGGGCTGCAGGCTGTGGTCTGAAACTCCTGCAACGCAGTGGCTGGAGCCACACTGGATGCAAGCACATTGCATAGTAGCTGTGCAGTCCAAAAAATGCCCAGAGTGGGACCGAAGGTGCAGAGCTACAACTCAGGTCTTGGGCCATGCTGGCAACACAGAGATGGAGAGAGGTAAGATGCCAGGATTGTCCATGTGCCAACACAGCATTCACACCCCACCCCAGGTCCCTCATTAGGCACTCTGCTAGTTCAGTGAACTCACCATTCAATTCTGGGTTCTTTGCTATACTTGTAACTTGTTCTCCCTCTCCTCCCCACAGCCCCTCCCCTTGCAAGAGATAAAAGGAAGAGACAAAATCTGAGTAGGGAGAAAGGGAGCCTGCACCCAGCCTTGTACCCATGACCCCTGTCCTCTGTCTTCAAGAGTAATTCAGTTTACAACTGTGGTAACTTGGGAAATTGCTGAGGTGAAATGTTTGAATATCAAAGAATTCCCAACATAATATTCACACATCTCCCAAGCGACTCTTCCAGGAGGTCGAGGAGGCCCTGTCAAGCACAGTCAACTCTGCCAGCCTCAGAGTGGAGGCATCAACAAAGACACAGGAACCCCGAGAATCAGATTTAACTTTTCAAAGGCCCACAGGACCAGGTTCAGGACAGGTTAAGAAATCATGCAAACCACCTGCTCCTTTGGGCTCAACTGTGCAAAAACTGGCCTTCTCCCCTGGCCAGCCCCCTCCCTCCTACTACAGGAGCTGGGACCACAAACCAAGGACTCGCCTGGTCTCACACTCCCAGACCCTAGAGGCGGTGTTCTCTAACACCTGAAATCAGGCCAGGGGGAGAGCACCCAGGCCCGAGCAGCTGCTGGACACACTCCAGGTAACATGAAAACAACTTGTGCAAACAAGGCCCCTGGGCCAGGAAGACCAGTGCCCTCACGAAGGGCCATGCTGCACTCCAACCCTGAAGTTCACCAGAGGAGAGTGTAGCAGGAGAGTGTCAGGTATGGCTGCGTGTGAACTTGGTCAGAGCCACATCACTTGAATACTGGCACAAAAAAAGGGACCAAGGCAAAACAAATTTATTGTGGGGAACAATTCCCTTTAAAAGTGATCTCTATCTTTAGGAGACTAAAGGAAACACGATACTGAACTCCTGTTCCCTGGTCTGCAGGGCCACAAGACCACCTATGCTCTGCTGTGAGCTCTGGCCTCAGTAGCAAGACCCAGGTAAGCCTCACCTTCAAGAATAAAGATGAGCCCACAAACAGGCAGCGCCATCTGTGATGATCAGATACCCCATGGCAAGACCCTGTTCTGTACTGTCTACTCTCTGCCATGTAAGGCAGGTGCACCTGACCACAAAAGGGTCTACAAGGGACAGGCAGGAGGCATGATGTGATTCCCTGTGTGCCTTACCCGTTATAAGCTAATTCAATTCCCCATCTGCCACCCATTCTCCTCCCTTGGGACCCCAGCTGTGGCCAAACACAAAGTGAATCTGAAAACAGAGACCACCCTAGGGCCCTCTTATAGAACACATTCAGAGGCAGAGTGGGCAGGCAGCATGTTACATTCTAAGTAAAATAGCTAGAGGGTAAAACACTCTAATGCCAATTTATTTTTTAAAAGGGTTCTGTGTAAATTCTATAGTTGGTTTGCCTCTTTTCTTTTTGTACAATTGTACATCTTTTGAAAATTACATAAGTTGTAATCATCTAATACTATTAATAGTCATTCAGAAAAAACTTTCCCTCCCTCCCAACATCCATCCAGGGGAAATTAAAAATCCTGAAGAGGCCAATTCAACAGGGCCTCTACCATAGTAGAAACAAAAAGCAAAAAGATGAGAACAAAATAGAAATTGACTAAGGTGTGTTGCCAGTGTTTCTCAGGAGTGGGGCCCTGGCTGCTGCCTGGGGTTCATGAAAGGCAGAGCCCTCAGCATGCAGTATGGCAGCCAGGAGACCTCGCAGCAACATATTCCTCACTCCAGCGCATCCATGTCCAGCCTAGGTGTCGTGGAAATCCTTCAGCAGGGTTCTCCTCCGTTGTTCTGCTATGTGCATCTGGTTTTCTAAGTCCTGCACCAGGGAAGCAAAATGTGTGCTTGGATGGCCCAGCCCATGAGCAGGGGCAGCCAAAGCCATGACATGAGCTCCGAGGAGTCAAAAACACAGCCTTTCCCACCCTTCTCAGCAGCAGCTTCTGGCCCACAAAACAAAAACCCTGTCACCTGTTAACATGCTAGTCCTCCCTCACCTCAACAGCAGGTCCAAGAAGACAGCAGGCACTTACCCCTCTGTCATAGCTGTCTGCACGTTCCACTTTCCAAGATAGGTTTTCAATCTCAGCCTCCAGTTGAGCCTGCTGGTATTCAAACTGTATGGGCAGAGCAGGAGGGTCAAAAGGAGAGGGGCAGGGCCTGCAGATGGAGGGGCAGATGCAGCACCTCAGGCTCGCATGAGCTACAGACAATCCCGATGCCGTCCTCAGAGAGCAGTGCTAGTCCCTGAACCCGAAGCCAGAACCCAATCAAAAAGCTACCTCAGAGTACAGACAAATGGGGGTGGAGGACAAATCGCCCTCCACCCCCAAAGAAAGGGCAAGCATTTAAGCCACTGAAAAGAATGCTCCCAAAATTTAGGGAAACATGCTGTAAAAACAAGTCGGACTGGATATTCACATTGCACTCCCTGAATACTTCATTTTACTTAGTAATTGTACATCCAAGCTTTATGCATAAATATTCTTCAATATCTTATTTATAATAGTGAAAAACAGAAACAATTAATGCCCCAAAATGATGGTAAACCCCTATAATGGAACATTTATACAATTATTTAAAAATGGTATTAACCAGTCTGGTAAATAATGACAGCTGTAACAATAAACTGCTGCAACAGTAAAATGCTCTGTGCATGTGTGTGTATATATGTCAAACTATGATTATATAAATAACGTTAGTTTTAAAAGGCTGGAAAATGCTAACATGTGGTCATTTCTTTCTGGTGATATGATGATATCACAAATGGTATGTTATTCTGCTTTTCAATATTTAGACAATAGGTGTAAATTACTTCATAATGGACTGGGGGACAACTCATATATAAAATAAATAACCATGTCAAAAGTCCACTATAACTTGAGGATGTGAATGCTGGATATTCTCCCAAAGCACGGGCACTGGCCTCTCAGGTGGCCACAGACATTTCCAGCCAGTTTCCCTACATATATGGTCACATTCAGAGGCTTCAGCACGCCTGCCTTACTGTGACACAAAACCCTAGCACCTGAGACCTATTTTGAAGATATCTAGGGAAATAAAATTCGAAAATGGACACTTTTAATTTTGCCCTCCCAATAACCAGGGCACCTCTGAAGTGAAGAGGACAGAGTAAAGAGGGACTGCTTCGCCTTACCAGCTTCTTCCTGGGTCCAGACTCCATGTAGTATGCATATGGATACGTGTATTGCAGGGTGTATCGACACTGCAATAGGAGAGAAGAAAAGGTACCTGTGTCTATGCTTCTAACCTACATGCATCACAGGTGGCTTTTATAATTCTTACCCCACCATGCAAATTAGCCTAGCTCTACAGGTATGGGCCTGAAAGAAACGAGACCAAGCCAAGTAATGGATGAAGTGGGGGGACAACATGGGGAAAAAAAATGAAACAAAGGTGACCACACAACACTCAGAGTTCCTTTTTCAAACTGTGAGTTATTTACCAGCAGCTGCCTCAATGACTCTTCCCTCTTGAGTTGGACATCAGAGTCCACACATCTATCTCAATAACTGTCCAAAGACAAGCTGTTATTTTCCTTTGAGTGATGCATGGATGGGACAAAAGAAGAAAAGGGAAAAAGGCTCTAGTGTTCCCCACAGTTCTTTCCCTGCAGGCAGAGGCAGTGGAGTACTCTTCTTGGAATTCTCCTGGACACCCAGCAGAGGGAGGACTGGGTCCTCAGCAGGCATAGCACAGGGAATTGTCAACCCGTGAGCAGAAGTATGCAGGGCTGCACAGGGTGCTAAAGCCCCTTGCCCCCTACAGTGTCTCCCACCCTCAGAGGAGGTCTGGGCTTGACAGGGCCAGCCACTGGACACGGGTACAGAAGAGTGAGGTAGTACAGACCTTGGCCAAGAGCTTGGCAGCATTCTGTAAGTACTGCCAGTCAATCCACGTCCCCAGATTATTCATGACCCTCTCCTGGATTTTCTCATGAATCCGCTGGTATGTCTGTGCTTCTAGCTGCAAGCTCTTGTTGTGGTTTTCCCACTACAAGGAACAACAGAGGAAGAAGAAAGCTGTAGGAGTCCTGGGGAGGTCCACAGGTCCACATAGGAGTTCAGACTAGACACTATGGAAGGAAGGGCATGGTCATAGCCTCATCTAACTTATGGGGACTGTGTACTTTGAGAGAGCACAAGAGGATTTCTTCAGTCCACACCACTAACTAGCTCCAGAGCAACTGTCTGCTTGCCTGTTCACTCTACCCCTTTGGGGAAGAAGGGCTGCGGCCCTGAGGACTAACAGGTATTCACTGGTCTACTGTGTTCATAAATTAAATATGCCACACTCTGTGGGCTTCTGAAGGGTCTTCCTGGGAGGAACTGTTCTCTAAATCTATTAAGAAGGCACTGCAAGGAAGACTGTCTGATGGTCCCTCACTGTCCTTCAAGCCAGCAGTCACACAAAGCCAGCACCACATTCTTCCTTGTTGGCTATGGCTGCCCTGTGGAGCCCGAAAGCCCATCTATGGAGGCATCATCCAGGGCCATGGCAGGAGCTCCACTCCCTGACCTGTGTGTGCACATGCTGGCTCTGGCTACCAATCACTGGAAATTCCACCCCAGCAGGCCAACTGAAGAAGCCCACCCTCAAGGAGCAACTGCAGGGAGAGGACGCCTACCCTCTCAAAGTAGAACAAGTACTTCTTGAGGGCCTCCCTGGCTTGGGCCTGCTGGCTCTGGTTGACAATGTCGGGGTTCTCCTTGTACCGACTGCACTCATAGTACTCGCTGCCATGGGTCTTCCAATCTCCTAGACACATCCAGCAGAAGTCTGCACAGAACAGAAAGAAGAATTCATTCTCACAGGACAAGCCCACAGTCCTCCAAAGGCAAAGCAGTGGGGACGAACAGAACGTGCTGGAGGGGTGGGAGTAGGGGTTCATCTGACAGAACTTCCCAAAGATGCCTTTTTCCAGGGGGAATATAAACCTCTTGTCTCATCATATCCCACTGTCCCTGTAGCCTGCCCTTGCCAAGCTAAACAGCCTATGGATATTCTCAGTTCCTTGAGCATATATGCTTGTACTTTTTAATCTAATGCAGGCAGATGTCGACTGTACAAGACCACCAGTTTGGTAAAGTACAGCATAGGAAATATACTCAATATTATTATAATAACTGTGTATGGTCCCTGGAAATATCAAGGATAACACTATAAAGTATACAACTGTCTAAGTGCTATGCTGTACATCTGAAACTAACACAAAATAATACTGAATGTAATGGAAAAACCTAATTTTTTTTTTTTTGGTACGTGGCCCTAGTGGAAACCGAACCCAGGACTCTCTGGTCCACAGGCTGATGTTCCAACTGCTGAGCCAAATCGGCCAGGGTAGATTTTCTATTTATTACAAAAAAACACATTTTTTTTTAATTGATTTGAGAGAGAGAGGAAGGGAGGGAGAGGAAGGAAGAGAGAGAAACATCAATGAGAGAGAACATGGACTGGTCGCCTCCTGTATGCCCCTCACTGGGTATATGGCCCACAACCTGGGCATGTGCCCTGACTGGGAATAGAACCTGCAACCTCTGGTTGGGCAAAACAAAATATTTTTTAAAAAGCATAAAAAAACCCTGGTCTAGCCCTGGCCAGTTGGACTCAGCAGTCAGAACATCATCCTGCAGACCAAAAGGGTCCCAGGTTCTATTCCAGCCAAGGGCACGTACCTCGGTTGCAGCTCGTCCCTGGCCCTGGATGGGGTCATGTGGGTGGCAACCAATCGATGTGTCTCTCTCACATTGATGTTTCTCTCTCCCCACCTTCCTCCCACTCCGTCTGAAGATAAAATGTAAAAATATCCTCAGGTGAGGATTAAAAACAAAATCCTGGTCTACTGTGTCAATGCCACTGTATGAAGCAGAAACTTGCCCAACTGAGGCTCATTCACAACACCACACTTGCCCTCCTGCCTACTTCCTACTATTTTGTTGTTGTTGTTAATCCTCACCTGAGGATATTTTTCCATTGATTTTTAGAGAGTGAAGGGGACGGAGAGAGAGAAAGAGAGAGAAAGAGAGAGAAAGAGAGAGAAAGAGGGAGAAAGAGAGAGAAAGAGGGAGAAAGAGGGAGAAAGAGGGAGTAAGAGGGAGAGGGAGGGGGAACATTAATGTAGGGATTGGTTGCCTCCTGCACAACCCCGACCAGGGTTGGGGATGGAATCTACAACCCAGGTACATGCCCTTGACTGGGAATCCAACCCAAGACCCTTCGGTCCTTGGATTGATGCCCTAACTGCTGAGACAAACCAGCCAGGGCCTCCCACTCTTACAAGATTTGTCCTAGGGAAGACTGTACATAAAGCTGGGAATAAAGGCTTTTCCCCCTTTTTTAAAAAGCACATTTTTATAAAACCTACAGCTACTCAATAGTTCATATGCAGAATTATGACTCCACATTGGAGAAGCAAAGAAGGAAATAAACATCCCTTAGGATGCTATACATCCAAACAATTATTGTGGTCTAATGAAGAAAGACCAACCACATTTATGTTAGATGTCCAGTATCAAATATATATTTTATTTCTTCCAGAGACCTGACAGTGGGAAACTCTGTTTCCCAGGATTCACTCCCAGAAGTTGGATGACTTCTCAAAAGGTGCTCTTGTAAAATTTAGGAAAGCTAAAGTCAAATCCAGAGACCCAGAGGTCATTCACTTCCTTTCTCTTGGTAGTCTTCAGTGAACAGTAGCGATATTGCTCTCCTTAATCAGCTAGGTTGTGCTTGCCACTGTTGTTTTTTTTGGTACATGCCTCTAGTGGGAACCAAACCCGGGACTCTCTGGTCCACAGGCCAAGGCTCCAACCGCTGAGCCAAACTGGTCAGGCCGCCTGCTACTGTTTTAAATACTATTATACTGCTTAAGGCTGTCCATACTTCCCTCTCACTAAACACATATAGAAAGAATGGGACACCACTGAGGAAACATGCCACTACCCTTGGCCCATCTTCACTTCAGAGTCACTGTTCCCTTCTAAGGCCTTGCACATCTGTCCACTCTGATTACAGTGAGCTCCTGGGAAAACACAGGAATAACACCAGACAGGCCCTTACAAAGAGTAACTCTCAGGGACTCCTGGTCAACATCTAAGCAGCTGTGTGGGAGGACCTATTTGTACATATTTTCTACTTGAAGAAATTTTATTTCTTTACTTGATCTGGCAGGAAGGAAAGTAAAACCAACAAATTCTATGTAACCTACTCCTGATAGATGAAGGAGGCCTGAAAGGCCAAATCAAAACCCTCTCTGGAAACTTTAAAAAATCTCAAAGGAAATCTATTATTTCACCACTTCCAGTAAAACGATGTACAGCCTGCTCTAATGTATCTATAAGGTAGCATAGATAAGCCCATGCTACTTACCTTCCTTAGCAAAAAATAAAAAGAACATGCTAAAATCTTCTTGGAGGACTGAGAATCATGAGGGTCTAAGAGTCATCCCAAACTTGACTTCTGACTACATGTGTCAGCAAGGCAGCAGTGGAATTATAAGAGGGACCAAAAAACAGTACATAAGTAGTATGACTACAAGTGATGGAGGATGCCGTTTTGTCAAATAACTACAAAAGCGCTCCCTAAACAAGCAATAGAGACCCATGCACAAGAAACAGACACTGTGCCACTGGGCCTTGAACACCAAGCCTGAGACTCACCGTGTTTACACTTGGAGCATTGCTGTCAGAGGGAAACAGAAGAGAACATGTTAAGGGCATGCTGACCAAAGGCTCCGTGTCACATATGCAAAGGGTACAGGCTTCTGCTCACCATGTGATTGCAGCCTCCATTCTTCTCAATGCAGATGTTGCACTTGGGACACTGAGGAGACATAAGGGCGCCATTAGGCTCACAAACCATCAGGATGGTTCTAAGACAAATTACACAAAGCTCCTGGCACCCATGCCCAGTTAACTCATCGTGCGAGCACTGCTGGGGAGGAGCATCTCACTTAAATGAGGCAGGTCGCTGAGGCTAGAACAGCAATCCAAGGAAATGAGGTCAGCATGTTTGGCTCTGAAACACTCCAAGTACCAGCTGAGCCCAACTAAACCTTCTACCATCTGTCCCTGCCACAGGCCACTAAAATTAAGCACAAGCTGAGTCAGCAGAAAGCCTGCCTGCTTGGGAGGAATGTCAAAGCAGCTGGATTAAGTCCTGGTCAGCCTGCCTGGACTTCTGCTTCTAGAAGACGGCAAGGAAACAATCTTTAAAATATGCTTGCTGTGACAGCAACCCTAGGAAACACTGCAGAAACCAATCGGATGCTATGCCATGAAGCAAACTGTGTTTAATGAGGTCATGGTCACAGCTGTGTTTGTGAGTGCCTTAACTTAGCATGTGACTGGCACAGGGTAGCGCCCTGGGTTACAAGTCATCCAGGGCTCAAGGGGCCCTTGCTTTCCCAAGGGAAATTTCAGAATAAGAATTGGGCATGTCTGGACTTGCATTAGAGTCTTGCTATTTATTAGGTGTGGCTATCAACCACCTCCCTCCCAGGGATATTAAAGCATAGGAGGCATTCAAGAAAACCTAGTGTTTTTTTTCCTAATTTTCTTTAACTTTTTCAGGCATTTCAACATTTTACTAAAATAAATGCACCAATCAACGCATACTATGACAAACTGCTGCTACCTCTGCCAAGTATGGGCAAGGGTCTACAGCCTCCAGCAAGGGCCCTGGGCCCATGGTATTCTGCTCTCAGATGGCAGATCTCCTGGACAAGGCCCTGGACAGCACTAAGGAGGGCAGATCCATGACAGGTAAGACACAGTCCTTACGTCTTTAGTGTGAGCACTAATGTAGTTGGCTGTTTCAGAGTCATCTGCACATTTCGTGAGCCATTTCCGGATTGTGGCGCAGTCTGTGGGTGCGTGATACATCTGACGACACTTGAAACTTAAAACCAGAAAAGAAAAACACTCAAATAATCATTAGATCAGGTTTTTAATTTTTTCTTTTGTCCAAGACAACATATTCTGAATTAGAGCTTTTCAGAGGGAAAGTCACCTGTTAAGGCCTTTCAGACCTTTACTTACTAGCTATTATACTGAAATACCGTGTACACTTCTCTTCAATCTAAGCCCTTCTAAGACACACTTTCAATAAACTCAAATGAAAAGTTTCTGTTGTAAATATCTTGTCATGTCAACCCTTCCTGAAAGATGTCAAATTCAGAATTCAGCCTCTAACAGGCATAGTGAGGTGTTCTGAGGATACCTCAGCTCTGATCCAAAGTAGGACCGAGGCATTGGTGGTATAGCTGCCTTCCAAAGTAGGACCAAGACCCACTTCTGGGAGGTTTGGCTTATGTTCCAGCCAGATGTGCACACAGGATGCACAAATGCCAGAACTTGTACAATCTGTAAAGGCATGATACATCAGACAACGCAGGAAACTTACAGTCAGAAAAAAATACTCATCAGGCTCGGCCCCCATGATTTTAATTTCCCTTTTGCCCAAGCCAACACAACTTGATGGATAGTACAGGCTCTCAAGTAGATGGCCCAGGGGAAGAAGTTCATCACTCAGGACACAAATGATGGAGAGCAACAACTACATTAATGGTTCTTAACATTTGGTGAGTCACAGACTCCCTCAACCATGTCTAGAAAGGCAGTCACATATACACATGTCATATTTTCCATGTAGTTTCTCTGAAGCCCCATCATGAAGCTCCCAGGGAGGACAGATTAGAAGGACAGATCTAGACCTAAGTGATGACTCTTGCCAATACCCTGCACCACAATTTCCTCACCCAACAAGGATAACAATAGTACTAATCATACACTGTTGTGAAAATGAAGGTACAACGATCAGGATAGTGCCTTTAAACCTTCAGTACATTTTGCTATTCCCATCATATTTAATGAATGGAGTAAACTTCAAGTAGATGTAAACAACATTTATGAATTATAGGGTGAATTATAGATAAGATTAAAACATTGAAAATTATAAACAGTAATATGTAAATTATCTGTGCAGGTAGGTAGACACATACAATCTCTGGGCCCCGAGTCTTAGTAGCATAAACCAGAGTATAAACATTCTCCAAGAATCTGCCACTTTCTTATCTCCAGACTGAGCATTATCAAACATAACATGGAAAATAAGATACTAGGTACAAAACCTGCCTACTAGGAGCACAGCAACTCTCCTGGTTCAAAGGCCCCGTCTCACCCAGCCCCATCCTCACACAGAGCAGCAGCAGTGGTGTTTCGAAGGAGGAGAAGGCACGAGCCCAGGGCTGCTCAGCACCCACACTCACTCTTACCAGAAGACCTCATTGCACCGATTGCACTGGACTCGGCGAGCTCTGGGCTCTTGTACCTGGATGACCATGGGGCAGTCTGCACCAGGGCACAGCTGGAGCTGGTAATGACTCTGTGAAGACACCAAAGGGAACATGAGGTTATCCCCTAGTCCCTGACTCCAAATTAGAACTGAGTGCTCAAACACCTTCTGTTCTTCCAGCTGATGACTTACATCAAGAGGCTATAGAAATTCAAAATGAATGTCGTGAAGACAAAACATTAGATAGATACAGATATTAAATGTTTAGTTAAAACTAGGAAGCAGCCCTGGCCGGTTTGGTTCAGCGGTTAGAATGTCGACCTGCAGTCTGGAGAGACCTGGGTTTGGTTCCCGCTAAGGGCACGTACCTTGGTTGCAGTTTGTCCCGGGCCCTGGTTGGCAACTACTTGATGTGTCCCTTTCACATCCATGTTTCTCTCTCTCTCTCTCTCTCTCTCTCTCTCTCTCTCTCTCTCTCTCTCTCCCCCTCCCACTCTGAGCAAAATATAAAAAAATGTCCTCGGGTGAGGATAAAAAAAAACAAAAAACTAGGAAGCAACTCACTAGAATGGTCTAAGATTAGATTACAAAATGGGATACGGGAATTGTATCTGTGAAATGAAAATGCAAAGGGACCAGGGCTGGACAGAAACACAGCCTAATCAACTGTGCATAAGATTCTGAGGTGCTCAACAACCCTCAGGCATTTACCAAAGGCAGAGAACAGCACAAAGAACAAGATATTCCATTTACCCTACAACGTGTGCATGAGAAGACCCAGACCATCAATCAATCCAATATGCTCAGGCATAAAAAAACGAGAAAAAGTATGCTGCATGAAACCAGCAAGCCTTAACAAGCAGCCCAATAGAGGGGAAGAACTCCAAAACTGACCATGTTGGAATCTTGGACACGTTTTCAAACTGCACAAGAAGTAATACCCCTTCTCTGTGCTGAATCACACAGTGAACCAAACTGAACAGCAACTCCTGAGATATGCCTGACTTGTTTTTTTTTTCTTTTATCCTCACCGGAGGACATTCTTCCATTTTTTGTTCAGATAGAGTGGGAGGGAAAGAGAGGGAGAGAGAGAGAAACATCGACATGAAAGGGACACATCGAGTGGCCGCCACCCGCACAACCCAACCAGGGACGGGGACAAACTGCAACCGAGGTACGTCCCCTTAGTGGGAACTGAACCTGAGTCTCTCCGGACTGCAGGCCAACGCTCCAACCGCTGAGCCAAACCGGCCAGGGCTGTTTTTTTTTTCTTTACTGATATTTAGAGAGAAAGGAAGAGGGAGAGAGAGACAGAAACACTGATGAGAAAGAACACTGACTGGCTGCCTCTGCATGCTCTCCACTGGGGATCAGGGCCACAACCTGGGAATGTGCCCTGACCAGGAATTGAATCTGTGACCTCTTGGCGCACGGGTCGATGCCCAACCACTAAGCACCCAGGCCAGGCTGCCTGACTTGTGTTTAAACCTTGGCCTACAATAGCTTGTTTAAGCAACGTGTCTAAGGTGGGGATGACAGACCATTTTATAACAGAAAACCAAGACTCAGAGAGGTAAAATAATGGGTAGAAGGTTACACAGAAAGGAAGTAACAGACCTGTAATTCACACAACTGTCTGACTCTGTGTTCTTCACTATCATTCTAGTAATTTTCAAGCTTTTTAAAAGTCAGTAGACCTCTTTCTTCAAATGCCAGCACCTAATGGCAGCCTTGTCTGTAAAGGAACTACAGTAAACATCTCATGGAAAACAGGCCTAGGGCCATGCCGGTGTGGTTCAGTAACTGAGCATCGACCCATGCACCAAGAGGTCACCGATTCGATCCCCGGTTAGGGCACATGCCCCGGCTATGGGCCCGATCCCCAGTGGGGGGCATGCAGGAGGCGGCCAATCAATGTTCTCTCTCATCAATGTTTCTATCTTTTTTTTAAAATTAATTAATTAATTTTTTTATCCTCACCCAAGGACATTTTTCCATTTTTTGTTCAGATAGAGTGGGAAGGAGAGAGAGGAAGAGAGAGAGAAACATCGATGTGAAAGGGACACATCGAGTGGCTGCCACCTGCAAGACCAACCAGGGCCGGGGACAAACTGCAGCCGAGATACCACAGGCCGACGCTCTAACCGCTGAGCCAAACTGGCCAGGGCCAATGTTTCTATCTTTATCTCCCTTTCTTTCTCTCTAAAATCAACAAAGGAAAAAAAATATATATGTTATAAAAAAAAAAGAAAGGAGGACTAGGAAGACAGAGGGCACAACCACAGGGGCTGGTCATACCTCCACATAGTCCCTGAAGAGGTAGCGCCTGTATTTGTCTCTTAGCTCTTCATTGGGCAATAATGGAAACACAAAGTCTTCTGGTGTTCGAAGTGGGCAGTCCTGAGCCATGCAAGAGACTCCTGTTAAACAAAGACAATCTGATCAACAACTGTATTACAGAAGTCACAACTTGAAATAATTTATTTGCCCACAGAGTTCAACCATAAATTCAGTCCCACACAGGAAACTCTTGAAATAACATAACTAATTCAAAGAAGAGAGAAATTAATATATTTTTACACAGTGATACAACTAAAATATTATTCCAAATTTTATATATATATATATATATATTTTACAAATAGCACCACTAAAAATATCATTTAAAAAATCCTATAAGGTCCCTGACTGACAATTTGGTTTTGTAATGTTTAATATTATGTGTGCCCTGGCCTGTTGAGCTCAGCGGTTAGAGCTTCGGCCTGCAGTCCAGAGAGACCCAGGTTCGGGTCCCGCTAAGGGTGCATACCTTGGTTGCAGTTTGTCCCCGGCTTGGTTGGTTGTGCGGGTGGCAGCCACACGATGTGTCCCTTTCATGTCGATGTTTCTCTCTCTCTTTCCCTCCCACTCTATCTGAACAAAAAATGGAAAAATGTCCTCGAGAGAGGATAAAAAAAAAAATTCTGTGCAAGTGCTTACCACCAACATGAGATTTTGCAGATACAATTAATGAAATGCCAATTTCGTTTCCATATCATCAAGTTACAGTATAACAAATACTCATCAAATTCGATCTGTGCTGTTACCTAAATAGCAGCCAATTCTCTGGGTGTTTCTGAGTTTTGGTTGCCACTTAGGGAATCAAGATAGGGTAGGTAGCTTAAAGGAGAGTCCTTCCCAGAGTTCTTCCAGGAGGTAGATTTGTACTCACACCAACATTTACATATATATCCAGGTAATAGTTTTAATTTTTTTTTTTTTCTTTAATGAATTTTTATTTATTTTTTTGTTACAGATATTTTACCTTTTTACCCCACTGGCACCCCCCACCCTACCCCCCCTCCACCCTGTTCCCGGCTTAGTTGTCCATGTCCATTGGTCATGCATACATGCATATAAGTTCTGTGGTTTATCTCTTCCCACCCCCCCACCCCCCATTCCCTCTTCTGAGGGATGTCAGTCTGTGCCCTACTTCCATGTGTCTGGGTCTACTGTATTCCTCAGACTGTTATGTTCATTATATTCCGTATATAAGTGAGATCATGTGGTATTTGTCTTTTTCTGCTTGGCTTCTTTCACTTAGGATAATACTTTCCAGGTCCCTCCATGTCGTCTCAAAGGATAAGAGATCTTTCTTTCTTACCGCTGCATAGTACTCCATTGTGTATATGTACCACAGCTTTTTTATCCATTCGTCTACTGGTGGACACTTGGGCTGTTTCCAGATCTTAGCTATTGTAAATAGTGCTGCTATGAACATGGGGGTACATATATTCTTCCTTAATAGTTTTAATTTTTCATTTTGCTCAGGACTGGGGAAAACTTTGCCACTGTTTAGATGGATGTGTTTGGAAAGCAATGGTTCTGACAATAACGTCAATCAGGCTCAAAAGAAAATATGCAATTGACTTGTGTACCTGAAAGGGCAGAGTCAGAGATAAATACTTCACACCAGCCTTTTGTAAATTCTACAGCAGACTCACCCACACCCACGCCGTCTTTGACAAGTACTGAGCAGTGCTGCTCCCAGCAGCTGCGGCAAAACTGGTGCTGACAGGCCAGAGAGAGTAGGTTTTCCTTCCGCACAAACTGCATACACACTGCGCAGTGGTGAGGGGGATGGGCTGTGGGGACCTGGGGAGAGGCAGAGCCATATGAGTCAAAAAGGAGACTTCAGTTCCTGGGAGGCCACAGGGCTGTCTTGTGTAGTTAGGCGCATGGGAGGCAATCCTGACCCTGCAACAAGTGTCAGAACTCAGCTTTAATGTGTGAGCTCTGGGAGTCACAAGAGTCCTAGGCAGCTGGGCTTGTAGAATCACTAGGATTCAATGAGGCAGACAGGAGGCTAAAATGAGAACATAAAGTAGTTTAATAATGTCAGGCTGACGGTTCCTGCTAAGGGCACGTACCTTGGTTGCAGTTTGTCCCTGGCCCCAGTTGGGGTCGTGTGGGTGACAACCACTAGATGTTTTTCTCTCTCTCTTCCCACCTCTCTACCTCCTGCTTTATATGAAGATAAATGCAAAAATGTCCTCAAGTGAGGATAAAAAAAAAAAAGTCAGGCTGAAAAGCTCAGGATTTCAGAATTGTCAAGGTTCGTAGAGGTCATTCAGTCCAACTTCTTTTATTTTTTTTATTTTTATCCTCACCCGAGGACATTTTTCCATTTTTTGTTCAGGTAGAGTGGGAGGGAGAGAGAGGAACAGAGAGAGAGAGAGAAACATCGATGTGAAGGGACACATCAAGTGGCTGTCACCCGCACAACCGACCAGGGCCGGGGACAAACTGCAACCGAGGTACATGCTCTTAGCGGGAACCGAACCCGGGTCTCTCAGGACCGCAGGCCGACACTCTAACCGCTGAGCCAAACCGGCCAGGGCGAGTCCAACTTCTTTTAGAGGCTACCTGGTTTCTTTTGTAAAGTGCCCCCCAGTTCAGCAGAGCACAGCTGCCCCTCACCAAGTAGTACAAACACAGTCATAAAGGTTCTGAGGCTGTGTAAAGCTTCTAATGGCCCACAACACAGTTTTACTTATCAAAGACTGTAGGTTCTCCCATGTCTTATGCCCCAAATACAAAATATTATAGCTTTTGCCAAGTTACAACTCATCCTTAACACATGGAAGAGATGTCACAAACAACTAATTTAGAGGGATGAGGAAGGCTCCTACTAGGCAAGAAACTCTTCTAGAAAGTGGGCAAATAACTGTAATGTTTGAGCTCCAGGATCCATGACATGCTACACACACTGCTAGACAAAGACAATCCGGGGATTCTGAGCCAAAACCACAACCTGTAGAAAAGTCCACTACAAGTTTACATTAGGTTCTTGTTAGCTCACTGTAAATACAAAAAAAAAAAACAATTTGAGGAAAAGGACCTTTCCCATGTTTGTCCAGTATATGCCAGAAATTTTTATAAGAGGCTGCAGAAGTTATGTGGTGATCTGAGCTCCAATTCTCCCTCCTAAGGGCTCTTTCAATATGGCCCTAATCCATTTAACAAATGTTTGTAGAACTTCTAGATATACAGAAAATTGCTAGGTATTGTAGGATATAGTTTCTATCCTTAGAGCACTTACAGTCTGGTTGGGGAACTGAAAAGATGACTGAATCACTACAATATACACATAAAGATTTAAAGATATAACCAGAGGAAGGGCAGTGATCACAGGAGGCAGGCTTTGTAAAAGACAGCTTGGATTTGGGTCTTTATGTATTTTTTAATGTTTTTATTGATTTTTTTAGAGAGGAAGGGAAAGATAGACACATCGATGTGAGAGAGAAACATCAATCAGCTGCCTCCCCAGCATGTGCCTTGACCACTAATCAAACTGGGTCCTCTCAGTCCATAGGATGATGCTCAATCCACTGAGTCACACTGGTAGGGTGGACTTGGGTCTTTAAAAGTGAGTTCCAGTCCCACAAACAAAGATGGGGACAGAATCTGAACATTCTAGGCCAAAGAAGGCATAAGCAGAGCCAAAGAGGTATTCAGTGAGCTTGGAATACCAAGTTACCCAACCCAGCAGGAATGGAGTGCAGGTGTGCATAAGTGCAAAGATGAAAATAAGGCTGAAGAGGGCCCCTAGATTGGCAATGATGTACTCTTCATCACCTATATTGGAACAAATACTTTAGGTATGCTGTACTATAAACCAAGCAAGATGGTTCTCAATAACACTGTAAAGACACTGCATGAGCCCTGGCCGGTTTGGCTCAGAGGTTGGAGCATCGGCCTGCAGATCAGAGAGTCCCAGGTTCGGTTCCCGCTAGGGGCACGTACCAAAAAAACACACACACACAAAAACAGACACTGCAAGAGCCACATACATTGAGAGAAGTCTTCCTCAAGTAGGAGACACTCACATGTTTCAATGGATTGGGCTGAACTCGAGCCTCAACAAGCAGCTGAGCGGAGTTAGACTTGTATCTACAAAACAAAAGGCAGAAATAAATGAATCAGAAACTGAAGTCAAACCATTTTTACCTCTGAACAAAAACAGAAGAGACCAACATGTGCTGCAGTTGCACTAAAATGTCTTTATCTCTCATTACCTCACAGAAACAAACTTCCTTTTACCTTGGTGCACATACTTTTTTCTCTATTGACTTTTTTAGCTTTCAATTGGTATGAGAAGAATAATAACCCTGCTTCAAAGGCACTGAACTTTAAGAAAAATACTCATGAAGGATCATTTCTACTTTAAATTCCATTCTGGAAATATAGGTAAATATCTCTATGACTTCAGAATAGGGGAGGATATCTTATTTGTTTTTAAAAAATTTTTTTCCTTTACTTATTTTAGAGAGAGAAAGGGCCCTGGCCAGTTTGGCTTAGCGGTTAGAGCGTCGGCCTGCGGTCCGGAGAGACCCGGGTTCGGTTCCCGCTAAGGGCACGTACTTTGGTTGCAGTTTGTCCCCGGCCCTGGTTGGTCGTGCAGGTGGCAGCCACTCGATGTGTCCCTTCACGTCGATGTTTCTCTCTCTCTCTCTCTTCCTCTCTCTCCCTCCCATTCTATCTGTACAAAAAAATGGAAAAATATCCTCGGGTGAGGATAAAAAAAATAGAGAGAGAAAGGGAAAGGGAGAGAGAGAGATAGAAACATCAATGAGAGAGAACATCGATTGGTCGCCTCCTGCATGACCCCACTGGGGATTGGGCCCACAACCTGAGCGTGTGCTCTGACTGGGAATTGAACCAGTGACCTCTTGGTGCATGGGTCGACGCTCAACCACTGAGACATACCAGCTAGGTATAGGAGAGGACATAGTAAGATACAGAAAATGCAAAGCATAAAGGAAAACTGAAATAATTATGCTACAATTAAGAACTTCAGTTCAGGTTGACACCATTTTGGACTCAGCCTATCTGCTTTAATGATGTCCTGAATAAAATTCTGTTCCTGCATCAAAAACCGCAACAACAAAAACTTCAGTTCATCAGGAGACACCATAAAGTGAAAAGCCAAGCTACAAACTGGAAGATAATTCAATATCTATATTGGCAAAGGACTGATATTCAGAATAAACAAAACAAAAACTCCTAAAAGTCCATTTGAAAAGACAAAATAACAATAAAAATGGGCAAAAAAGAGAACTGGCATTCACAGAAAAGAAAGCACAAATGGCCATTAAATGTATGAAAAGATGCTCAACCTCCTTAATAATCCTGAAAATTAAAATGAAAAACAATTAGACGCCATTTACACAAACCATATTGTAAAACTTTAAGTGTGGCAGTATCAGGAACACTCACACACCACTGGTGAGCATATAACACGGTATAATCACTTTGGAAAACATTTTGGCATTATCTAGTCAAGTTTTAGAAACACGTACCCTATAGCCCAGCAACTCACTTTCTATTCTTAACCCTATAAAAATTATGTGGCACTAGGAATCACATACGAGAGTTTTCGAAGCTGTACTATTAATAACAACAAAAACAAACAAACAAAAATACAACCCTCACAAATGGTTTTCTGGTTAAGGGATGAACAAGATGCCATGAAATGCAACCTTGTTAGTAATTTTAAAAGTCGAGAACACATACAGTGTGATTATATGTCTACAGAGTTCTAAAAACATACAAAACTTAAGATATATAATTTTTTAAAAATTAAGAAAATGATCAATACCAAACTAAAGATATGGGTTGCCTTGGAAAGGAAGGAAGGGGTGTGACCAGGCAGGAATTAATGCCAGCAGCCTCCCTCTAAGGAAAGGTCAGAGGGTTTCTTATTTGGGTGAACACTTAAGAGTATTTGCTTTATTATTCTTTAATACCTACACACAACACATATGCATGTACACACACACAAATTTCTGAAAAAGCATTATTCGTAAAAATGTAATTCCTTCTGGAATGAGGTATGGTATAAATACACTCAGAAATAAGAAGAATTATCATGTGGCAATAAAAGTGCTCCATGTGCCCTGGCCGGTTTGGCTCAGCAGTTAGAGCATCAGCCATTGACCCATGAGTCTTGGGCAAGGGCAGGCACCTCAGTTGCGGTTCGTCCCCGGCCCGGGTCAGGTCGTATGGGAGTCAACCAATCGATGTGGCTCTATCATATTGATGTTTCTCTCTCTCCCTCCCTCTCCCTCTGTCTGATTAGTAGAAAAATATCCTCAAGTGAGGAATAAAAAAAAAAAAGTGCTCCACGAAGCCCAGGAGAACACATTACCAAGATACCAGGAATCTGAGTAGGGAAGAATTAGGTCTCATGTATGTATGGTCCTTACCCCACCTAGTCAGAATGCCTCCTTCAACTATTTTCATTTCCATTTCTCACTAGGATTCTTAGTATCCTTAACCATCCAAATCTTCTCTATTCCCAAATTACAATAAAGAGTTTGGACACTGAGAGACAACCCACTGCTGGAATCTATGTGGTCCCAGAGACTGGGTAGCAGTAATAGTGGTGTAGACAGTGGAAGCTCATCTGGAAGTCTATTTAGATGTATTCAGCTCTTGGGTAGAATAAGAGTGCAGTTAGTGAATACGAACACATCTTCTCCTTTCTGGGTGGAATGCGCGCTCCAGCTGGTATGGCTATCTCAATTGTGTTTAGCCTGGTGAAGGAAAGGCATGACCTTTCTCTGCATTTACAGTGGAATCACACCATACAGAGAAAGACTAATGGGGTATGAAAGGGCAGGATGGTGGAGAGTGTTTCTCACCAGGGGAATTTTGTTCTCTCGAGGATCTTTGGCAGTGTCTGAAGACATTTTTTATTTTAAGGACTCTGGGGTGGTGCCACTGCTACTGACTTGCAGTAGGTAGAACCCAGGGATTCTGCCAAACCTCTTACAATTCACAAAAGAGTCTCCCCACAACAGAGTAATCTAGTCCAAAATGTCAATAGTGCTGAGGATGAGAAACACTGAGCTAGACAGAAGCACATGTCTCTAAGGGTGGGGGCTAGGAAATGTCTCCAGAGGACCAGGGGGAGGAGAAACCCCTCCTCCTGACAACTTGCACAGTATCATGAAACTCCAAATCTGTGCCTCAAGAGCACTCGTTCTGGAGGGGGTGGTAACTTAACCAAACTTTTCTCAAGGTAATATGTGATATGTTATGATGCATTCCTCACTTGATGTATCCAAAATAAATAACTAGAGATGTTGGAAGTGTTATTTAGAAGGGCACTGACTACAAATTAACAAGGGCATAAAAAATCTGAATTTCACTGTCTAACAAGGGTTTGAAAAAAGTATGAAACATCTATATGATGAAATACGTGCCAGCAAAAAACTGGAGTAGAAAGAATATGCAAAAAAATTTATGGGAAAATGCTCAGCATATTCTGAGAGAGAAAAAAATATACACTATGATCCAGTATTTTAAAAATATAATATTGCACACTTAAGTATATACTCCAAAATGTAAATAATAACCACCATTGGGTGGGTAGGCAGAGACAGGAGCTATGGGTGATGCCATCTCTCCTCCCCCAAACACCTTACCTGTCCAATATCTCTGCAACTTGCCAGTGGAAATTAACTAATATAAGCTTAGCGACTGAATGAGACACCTAGAAAGAAGAAAGAAAAAAATCAAATTATAACTGTAGTTTCTTTCAGAGAGCTCCACATTTTGAGAAATACATACATTCATGTCTATAGCAGGCCCAGGCTTGATTTCAAATTCTTCTTGGTGCTCTGCTGTGTCTTTTAAGTTCAGATTCTTATAATCTTTGTGATTTCCTGGATCTATTTAATTTTTCTATCTTTGCTTTCATTAATGACCCTTAGAAATTAGTTTGAATTGAAACTTAAGCAAAACCACCCTGTCTATGGTAAATAACAACTCAGCATCCAATTTAAGCAAAACAGCTATGGGCTCCCTTATGTGATATATGTTCCCTCAAGCTGCAATAGGAGGCCACACATGGGATAGGCCTGTTATGCAGAAAATCTCCAGGCTTGGAATGCTCATATAAATCCAGCAAAACAAAACAAAACAAACACAAAACGCCCACTTAAAATATCTGAATGCCTGGCAACCAGTGAGCTCTAAATGCAAGGATAATTTAAAAGTCTGTGGGCAGCCTTTCTGGCTCCTACATTCTCTTAGAACTAGCTATTCTACTTTAGTAAATTTTTCTGAGGAAATGATAGAGGATATGTGCACTATAATGTTTTTAAGGAGTAAAAAAACAGAAATAACTTAAATGCCTAAAAAAGGAAATAATAAATAGTATGACAGATTCATGCAATGGACTACTATGTAGTCACTGAAAAGGATGTTGCAGAAGTGTACTGACATGAAAAGTTCACATTTTAATGTTATGTTCAAGAAGTCAGTAGTAAGATAGTATGTATATTATAGCCACCATATCTTGCTAATAGAGGAAGGAAGCTAGTTACAAAACAGACCACCTTGAGTGTCAGGACTGGGGGTGGGGATCACAGGAGATTAGGATGTGTCTGGATGCCTAAATCAGGCTTCCCAGAGACAGTACTACACCACATGAGGGTGACACTGAATCGAGAAACAAGAAGCACACTTCAGGCTAAGGAGCCAAGAGAACATACAGAACCTTGGTATTCTGCTCACTGGACTGTCTTTAAAGAGGATCCAAAGGTAGTAAAGAGGATCTGTAAGGTAGTGCATGCTGCTCCACAGGTAAGCAATACGGGGGGGGGGGGGGGGGGGGGGGGAGAGATACACAGTGACCAATACGTAATCCCTTCTCCTAGAGTTCAAGCCACTCCTGAAAGGAGACAGGTGCACCCTTGCTAAACAATGGCATGTCCCAGTGCAAAATCAGTGTCAAATACTGTGTAGTGAATGACTGCCTCCTTGTCCTAAAGCCCAGGTACATCTGGAGAAAATAAGGACTCAAGACAGCTTACTTCACTAAGGGGGGGGGGGACCCCACTTCCCTCCCATGCAAGACAAGAGGTATCTGACCCATGCATGTTGCTGCAGTATTTTCTTCTTGAGGCCCACAGAGACTTTAGGCCTGGGACTCCTGAATTATAGTTGACATTTCTTCTAACTGTGGCCATAACAAAATGATTCCTCCACAATAGACCACTATCACAAAATGAAAAGAGACAAAACATTTGGTTTAAACTTTAGTGACTGTTTGAATGTAGCTTTTAGCTACAAATACATATATATTTTATTCCTCACCTGAGGATACTTTTCTATTTATCATCAGATAGAGTGGGAGGGAGGGAGGGAGACAGAGAGACAGAGAGAAACACTGATGTGATAGAGCTACATTGACTGGTTGCCTCCCATAGGACCAGACCAGGGCCGGGGACGAACCGCAATCTAAGTATGTGTTCTTGACCAGAATCGAACCCACAGCCCATTGGTCTGACGCTCTAACCGCTGAGCCAAACCGGCCAGGGCACAAATATTTTTTTAAACCCTGATGATGATACTGTTTAGGATGACCTCCTCGCTGGGACCTTTTCTGTCATCTCTTTACCCAATGGGGCTCTGTCAGCGTTACACCGACTGCTTTCTGTTCTGATTTCTAAATGTCTTGTCATGCAATGGCTATCAGGTCCTATCAAGGACACTGAATCATGCAGGAAACCCAGAGGATTCCTGGCCATGTCCAGCTGCCACCTCCCCTTATCACCACAGATGGCTTAGATGAAGACTTTAAGGTAAGAACAGGGGTCAGGCTGCCTCTCACAGATCCACAGAACCCAGAACTGAACTAGTCACAGGGTGGCCATTCAATACATGCTGATCATTAAATTACATGTCTTTAATCTATTTTCAAAATGAAATTTCCTGACTTTGCTGATGAAACAGAGTTTGACACTCCACTTGGTCTGAGCCCTTGATCTCAACAACACTAACAGTAACAACAAAGCCTCAGAACTCACACATCAAGTGCAGGTGCAGCCCAACTATGGAAAACAATACGGCCCTCTGTTGAAGCTGAAAATTTTATTGATGACTGTAAATCCATTAATGATCAACTCATAATATCCCAGCAGAGCTGAGTTTTGGTGAGAACAGGTAATGTAAAGAGAAGATGCATCTAGGACTGTATAAAACTGACAGTAGAGTGATGTGAATCTATCTTTTAGGAATACATCAATATAAACAAGATAGTAGGCACACACATGTCAGCTGTAGGCACTTCCCACTAGCCTTCTGCAGGAGGTGCTGTGGTTCATACATCATAGAATGGCCCATTATCACACCCTTTGTATATCATAGAAACCCGAAGGAATTATGAGAACATTAATTTAAGCAAAATGCAATATGACTGTACCTTGCCTAGTAATAAAACCCAGAGAAATCAGGTTCCAAAAGACTTTCTGAGCAAAAGCAGCACAGGGGTGGAGGAAAAGTACCTAGAATAATTTACACTAAAAAGATAGTCTCAGCAGGGAAGCCGCCCTCTCCCTGATTTGGGTCATAACAAAGAACTAACTGCACCCCAAACCCCAGCAGTTCCAGAGGAAGTGACCTCAGGTGATTTGGGGGCAGAAAAGGAGGTGGGGGGCAATACTTAAGTTAATTTCAGCAGGTGGACCAGGACAAACATTGTGAATGATATTAAACATTAAAAATAAAAATTGGTCTTTCTCAGAGTGCAAACAGCTAAGCTCTCTCAGGAAATATCTGAGCATTCACACCATTACTGTAATGCTCAAAAGACCTCAGCAATCCGTTATGAATCTATCAGTCAACACTTCACAATGACAAAAGTCTTCCACTTTTCTGGTATATGCTCAATTGTAGAAAAAAAGATCTTTCAGTCAAATCAAGATGAACTCTTGCTGATCTGTTCTGATCAAGAAACTAACAACCTGTTAATAGTTAGGGTTATGTACAGCAACCCTTGAACTACAGGGTTTGAACTACATGGGTCCACTTATATGTTAGGTTTTCTTTTTCTTTTTTATTTTTTTTTATCCTCACCCGAGGACATTTTTCCATTTTTTGTTCAGATAGAGTGGGAGGGAGAGAGAGGAAGAGAGAGAGAGAAACATCGACGTGAAAGGGACACATCGAGTGGCTGCCACCCGCACAACCAACCAGGGCCGGGGACAAACTGCAACCAAGGTACGCGCCCTTAGCGGGAACCGAACCCGGGTCTCTCAGGACCACAGGCTGACGCTGTAACCGCTGAGCCAAACCGGCCAGGGCTCTTTTTCTTTTTTAAAAAAATATGTTTATTGATTTTTTTTTTTTTTTTGAGAGAAAGAGAGAGAGTATAACATCAAAGTGAGAGAGAAACGTCAATTGGCTGCCTCCTGCATGTCCCCTACTGGGGATTGAGCTGAAACCCAGCCATGTTCCCTGACTGGGAATCAAACCAGTGACCTCTCAGTCCATGGGAAGACACTCAATCTACTGAGTCACATTGGCAAGGCATGGGGTTTATAATTGACCTGTCTGGTTCAAAACTGTGTAGATATACTGATTTTTGACTGTGCAGAGGTTGGTGACCCTAACCCCTTTATTCAAGGGTCAACTGTATTAGCAAGAAGGGCTTAAAATGAAAAAGTCAAACCTTTTCCAAAAGAAAAATGGATCCACAATGGTAACCAACCACTCAAAGCCAAAAAAACTAATTGACTGCCTGGCTGGTGTGGCTCAGTTGAGCATCGACCCATGCACCAAGAGGTCACTGGTTCAATTCCCGGTCAGGGCACATGCCCAGGTTGTGGGTCAAATCCCCAGTGAAGGGCATGCAGGAGGCAGCCAATCGATGTTCTCTCTCATCAATGTTTCTCTCTCTCTCTCTCTCCCCTCCCTCTTCCTCTCTCTCTAAAATCAATAAAGCAAAAAAAAAATTTTTTAAAGGAAAAAAAAAAGACTAATTGACTTAGGAAGGAACACATAACCGTATCATATTCAAGATAAATTTGCAGTTCTATTAGATCAACATGTAATAACAGTATAAGTCTTATTTGAGTCCTTTTTCTACTTCTGAAAATATTAATTCAAGAAAAGACTAGAACTAAGAACTAGGAAGTTTCTTATATAGAAATTTGTAGTCCCAAGATATTTACTCACAGGGTAATATGAACCTTTACCCAAAGAGACAGAAACATAGAGTCCACCATTCTCTCCATCTCAGGGGCCAAAAGGGGTCCCTTTCTCCAGGAATATGGGTCACTATTTCCAGCATGCCTGGGAATCTCACCCCTGTTCACACTGCAAACCCTAAGCTGGTGAGATCTGACAGCCACTTTGGACTTTCACAAAACATGAGTCAAGGACAATTACAATAAATTTAAAACAAAGACAAGCCGTTTTCCTATTCCATCTTCCCCCAAAAAAAGCATGTTGCCTGGCTGGTGTGGCTCAAAGGATTGAGCATCATCCCATGGACTGAGAGGTCCAGGTTTGATTCTCCGACTGGGCACATGCCTGGGTTGCAGGCTCAATCCCCTGTAGGGGCCTGCAGGAGGCAGCCAATCGATGTTTCTCCCTCATTATCACTGTTTCTATCTCTCTCCCCCTTCCTCTCTCTCTAAAAAAATCAATAAAAACATTATTTAAAAAATCATGTTAAACTACATCTTAAAGCTATTCTCAAAAATC